CACACACACACACACACACATATATATATATATAATTGTATTGTGATTGTTTCGAGACATTAACGTGTGATTGTATTAGTGGAGTAGGAATGTCAAGGTTCCTCTACGAGAACTCAAATGAGCTGCTAATATGCATACACAATATAGGTATTTTGTGCGGTAACTGCAACACGGATATAGCCTGCAAGTATCACCTCGGTTCTTCCACGGCTGTGTGCAGCAATGAGGTACCCGTTGGCTCGGCGTCCACTTCATCTGGTTGTAGGGTAACGGACAGGTCTATGATATCACTACTCAACGGCTCGCCTATAGCCCAGATTTACTTGACTCCAGATCCAGGTGGCGTTAATATAAGCGGCAACTATCAAGTGTTCAAGGAGGAGTCGGCCACCAATCCCAGAGAGCCGGTAAGAAGAATGTTAATTCGGGGGTTGTCGGGCGTCTACAACCACAAATGCGTGTATAGAACTGTACGTATATGTCAGTGTACATACGTGTGTATTAACCCGTTTTAGAGTGAAAGGTTACTGGTCCAGACCCGATGGCACCATGCCTGCCGCCAGTGTGCTGAGTAGTAAAGCGAATGCTATTTTCATAGACACCTATATTCAGGGTCGTGCAAGTATATGTATCTGTGTTATACTTCTTCACGAACAAGTTCAGAGAGCACTGTCATAAGCTCATCTATGCACACTGCTAGCAGGATTTTATCGTACAGACGTTTTTGTCCTCGATATATTAGTGATGCCATCGGAAGCACCTAGCGTATGCTGACCACAGACGACCAAATCGAAGGGTGCCTTCGATTTTTTCGTCACGTATATATGAACACATTTGTGCTTATGCATGTATATACACCAACGAATCTCCACTCTTTGTTGACACTATTTCTATGGCTTTCCGTTATCAGATCTTCAGCTGCTACTTCGACAACTGTGTGGATGTACTGGGTACCTATAGCTATCAGTGTGACAAGGGCATAGCTGAACCACAGGTTGCCAACCCTACAGCCATGTGGGAGTGCAGCACCTTCTTCTGCGAGACGGAGTGTGAGGACTACATGGACTTCTGCTCGAGTATGTATATGTTAGTACAGAACTGTTAGTGCGGATGCCTTTTCAGGGGCGATCCAATGTGTAGCAATGAATTCTGGGGTATGTGCTGGAGTGTGGATGTGTCATGGCTTATGGGGCGCTTGATTGAATTGTGGGCAAACAAAGGTGCTTATAGTATGCTTTATAGCCAGCTTATATGATTTATAGCATGCTTATACGATTTATAGCATGCGTATATGATTTATAGCCTGCTTATATGATTTATAGCACGCTTATATGATTTATAGCATGCTATGATTTATAGCGCGCTTATATAATTTATAGCATGCTTGTATGAGTTATAATATGCTTGTATGATTTGTAACCTGCTTATATGATTTTTAACAGGCTTACATGATTTATAGCATGCTTATATGATTTATAGCATACATATATGATTCAGCACTATAGCATGCTTATATGATTGATAGCATGCTTAAAAGATTCATAGCATGCTTATATGATTTATAGCCTGCTTAAACGATTTATAACATGCTTATATGATTTATATCATGCTTGTATGATTTGTAGCCCGCTTAAATGATTTATAGCAGGCTGATATGATTTATAGCATGCTTATATGATTGATAGCATGCTTATATGATTTATAGCAGGCTTATATGATTTATAGCATGCTTATATGATTCATAGCATGCTTATATGATTTAAAGCCTGCTTATACGATTTATAGCATGCTTGTATGATTTATAGCATGCTTATATGATTTATAGCCTGTTTATACGATTTATAGCATGCTTATATGATTTATAGCATGCTTATATGATTTATAGCTTGCTCATATGATTTATAGCATGCTTATATGATTTATAGCTTGCTTATATGATTTAAAGCATGGTGATATGATTTATAGCATGCTCATATGATTTATATCGTGCTTATATGAGTTATAGCATGCTTATATGATTTTTAGCATACTTTTATGATTTATAGCATGCATATATGATTCATAGCATGCTTATATGTTTTATATCATGCTTATATGATTCATAGCTTGCTTATATGAAGAATATTTCGGACGCGTGCTTAGTGTTCCATCCTCTGTCGCACATGCTATTTCACATCTTTAAAATTACTAGCCTGAGTGAGGTGTCATGTATAGTATACATCATTCTTCCTTCCGCCTTGTTGCGCGATGTTTTTGCTTACTTGTGGCCACCAAGCCGGCGTTCAAACTACGAACCCCATATCCATTGGCGTTGTGTCTGGTATTTCAACATTACGCACCCCATTTCAATATCTATGTCGGAAACCGATGGTCGTGAGAAAAAGACATACTCATCTCTATTCCGATCTTGTCGTTTGGCCACCGAATTGTTCGACTACCACCCGCAACGCGAAACCCATAACCCAAAAACCCAAAAACCCAAAATAAAAACAAAATTGGCCCACCACAAACCAAACTACCAGTGACCCTCAAGTACCTGATTCCCGCTGCTTCGGGACAGGCAGTGCTCATCAGCAACGGCACCTACTTCAACATCCGGCAGCAAAACGTGGACCTGCTTTCACCATGCGGCATTCACGCACAGTGCAATACGTAAGTGGTTGAGAGTGCGCTACTCGAGTGGTTGCCATGGTGATTGGATGTGCATGGGAGTTTATTAGAGCGGTCTGGTCTCTAAAGTGTGTGTACTATCAAACCTTGGGTAACTACTATGTTCAGAATCTGATATGATATACCCCGGTGGGTGCTGTGACGACCAAGATTGCTAGCGTAGCGCTAGTGGTCGGTACTTGGTTCAGATAAGCCGCGCTTTCTGCAGAGGCAGCAGAGAGCCATCTCACGGTGTTAAGCTAGTGCATGATCCAGACGATTATAACCTCAAACTTGCTCTCTTTCTAGGGCCGCGTGCGTACTGTACACAGCATTCGAATGAAATAGTCGCTCAGATGGAAACCTAAACTACATGTATGCCTACACGGCCACGTCGGTCTCAAGTGCACATTTACTGACAGCATATATATATATAAA